GAAATGGTCTAAATGCCTTCAACACGGAAATGATGAAGTAAATTAGATTATATCCATTCAGTAGCATGCCGCATCAACCTGGAAAGTGGTCATGTAGAGCCATATTTATTGATTTGAAAATGTATTCATTAAATTTCATAAAAGGAGCCAAACAGTGTAGAAAAATAAGATTCTGTTGCAAAGCCTCAAGGCAGGAAGAGAAAGGAGCAGGAAGTTGGTGGGATGTCTAAACAGGTTTAGAGCCAGTGAACTGCTCCTGTTTCCCTGTGTGCTCAGCAGGTCGAGGGAGTACGTGCTCTACAGCCGGGTAAGTGTGTGACTCCCATGGGCGCAGAAGCGCTGGGTGAGGTGGCAGCTCTGGGTGGGGAGGTCCAGGTCCCTTCGGAGCCTTCTCCCCACCGGAGTGGACAGGATGCGGACCCCCGCATGGTCCAGCGCGTGGCGTCTTCATCGTTTCCCTCCCTACCCTGTGCACACGCTGGACGCCCTCATCCGCCCAAGTGTGCAGAACCGCGGGGTCGCCGCGTCGGGCCGCACAGCCCAGGTGGAGTCTTCTGGGGGCTGCGCAGCCTCCTTCTTCCCGAGACAGAGCCCCGCGGTGCTGCACAGCGCGACCCTGGGTGGGGGGGGTTCCACCGAGCTTCGCTTGAGAGAGACGGGACGTTTTACTGAATGTGGGTGATGACCTCCTACTTTATGGGAAAGAGGCTTCTGATGACCCGCAGCTTGTGACAAGATTTGCCGAGAGAGCTCCTGGCCGACCCGCTCTTGTGCTCTGTAGTCCTTGGAACCCCGGCGCCCAGGCCACGCACTCCTGGTGGGTGGCTGAGTCATGCTCGGAGCACCCATGGGCCCTGCGGCAGGGCTGGAGTGTGCAAGACCAGCCTGGAGACTCAGACGGAGCTCAGATGCGAGCCGCAGGGCACGAGCAGCTTGGAGGCCGAGGCCGGCTCCCGGGGCCGGGCACCCTGCGAAGGGGCAGCCGCGGCCTTGCGTGGCCTGTAAGGGCCCCGGGCAGGCGCGAGCAGCCTCTGCGTTTCTCCAGCGGGAGTATGCAGGGTGCAGGCGGCTCCGGAGCAGCTCAGCCTGGCTCTGTGCACTGGGTGGGATGGAAAGTGGACAGTGCGGCCGAGCGCTCAGCCAGGAGGCGGGGGCGATGCGGAACTGACTTTGTTTCCACTTCTGTTTACATCCTGGAATCAGAGTGCAGTGGAGTCCTTGCTGCTGAAGCTGTGCTTCTTCCTCTCCTCGAACCCTAAATTCCCGGCAGCCCGGCGAGTAAATGCAGGAAGTCCAGACTGCCAGGCTGCGGAACGCCCAGAGGACCAAGGGAGTGCTCCCGCGTGCCCGCACCCCTCACCCCTGCACACATCGTGCTCGCCGCGCGCCTGGGAAGGCCTGGGATAATGGGAGTGTCCAGGGAATGGCGTTGCCTGGGTGCCTCATCTGTTTGTGCTTTCGATTGTGGACTTTGCTATTCCACTCCGAACGAGAGAAGAGAGAGGATAGCTGTGCACCCAGGGAAGGGAACTCACAATGCTGCCGAGCCGAGCACGATCGTCATCAAGTGTGACTTCCGGGAACGCCATTTGTTTTAGGGTATAAATCCGAACTCAGAGCTCTGTGTACCTGGATATGGGGGAGGGATAATAAACGTTCTGGTTGAGCAGAAGCCATAGTAGCCCATGAAATCAGAGGGTCCAAACAAGACACAGGGACAATCAGCAAACGCTCAAGCACAAAAGTCGTGCACACCAAGGAGTGACAAAAATAAAGTCCTTTCCTGGGTATTGTTCTTTGGAACTGCATTTTGGCTTCGCAGTGCATGTGCCTCTCATTAGCACAATGTTCTCCACTTACACCCTTGTAAATATTTTTACAAGATAATATTTAATGATAAAAGTGTTTTGCTCACTAAACCTCTCCCGGTCAGCAACTGGAAGCTGACCTCTAACAGGCCCAAAGCTGAACAAACAGTGGCGGTGGATATTTGCATCTGTCATTTCTGAAACACCTTCCTTTCAAAATCTGGCATGAAAGACCGTTTCCTTTAGAAAAGAAAACACCAAACCGAAAGCCACTGCTCCTTTCCCTTCTTTCCTTTTTGACGAGCTCCTACGGCCGCGAGAGAGCCGAGTCTTTCTGGAAAAGCAGGGTAGTTGGTGTAGGCTACCAGAAGGCCAGTTGTAACAACCCCTTCCTACTCTGTGCAATTCCTGTCCTCCAGGGCTGAGCTGTGCCCAGTTTCAACCCTTGTCTTGCTACCCCATCTTCTCTCCTGGAAGCAATGCTACGTTAACAACACTTCTGAGATCTGCTTAAGGCCTCCGTTATCGTGGGTTAGGTGTAGCTTCCCAGAATAGGATGAATCCGAGGCTCCAGAGCTGAGGAAGGCACGTTGGCTCTGAGATTGTGTTGCTGGGAGCGCTTGACCTTCTCCAGGTCTCCATTTCCTTCCTGTAGAATGAAGAGTCTCTAAGGGCTCTCTTTTGACTTTCTCTGACCGGTGAAGCATTTTACCTAATGACTGCTGTCAGAAGTTCTGCACAACACCTTGCTTTTGTGGACTCTGCTCTTGTAGACCACCCAGTTCCTTCCAAGGTCTCAGATGCTGTCCGTCGCTTCCGTGAATATTATGGGAACAACGTAGAACAAAGAGCACAGCACAGGACAAGCACACGTCTGAGTGGTGGGTGGGTCCCACCACCCCAGCCATGTGTCTGTGCTTCCCTGTGTCTGGATACAGAATCTGTGAAGGCCTTGCTGTGTGGGCAGGACGGGGGCAGCAGCCGCTCCTGAACTTGGCCATTTATTTACCCGACCCTGGCAGCCAGCAGCATGACCCAAGGAACACTTCACAGCTTTGCCTCCACCCAGCAATGCCGGACGTGGGCAGCACTTGTGGTCTGTTTTACTCTATTTAAAGGGCGGGCTGTAAATGCAAGTCCATATGCCACGCAGAAATAAGATGTTCCAAAAGTGTCCCCAGGACTATTTTTAAAGCCACTGCTAATAATTTATCATCTGATGCTCTGGGCCTTGCCTGGGTCTAAAAATAGTTGTTCCTGAGTTTTGGGATGATGGTCAGGGACCTGGGCTGAGAGCAGCGGGAAGCTACCAGCTAATAAGATCTGAACCATCAAGAAATCCAAAGCAAAATCAAATCCAGCCACGCGAGATTTAATTTAAGAAGATGAATTTGACAGCTGATTTTCCATTAATTAAGTTTATAGAGATATTTAAGGAAAGAAATAAAATGACAGTGAACCCAACACAATCCTTGGGGTCTGAGACTGAGTCTGAAATCATATTACATCGCCTTGTTAGCGGCAGCTTGGTGACCTCGGGGAGACAATTCCAGCAAGTGGCCCACTTGGGGCTGACAGCTGACCCCCTCTCAGCTGTGGACACCTAGACGGGGTCAGGGCCCCTGCACCAGGGAGGGGACAGCCCGGCCTCCGGTGGCCTGCAGACGGAGCTCCCAGCTCAGACACTGGACTCTTGGCACAAATCAAATTAGAACTGAAGGAAACACAAAGACCACATTCTACCCCAAACAAATTATACATCATTTGGCCTTTGTCCAAAGGCTAAAATAGTTCTGTGTTGTAGGATTTTTGTTAATAATGGAACTGAAATGTCTTTGTGTGGTTAGCCTTGAGTTTTAAGGGTACTTCCTAGGGCTACTTAAAGCTAGCAGAGGGCCTGGGAGTTAGCTCAGGGACACCATGCCTGCCTCACAAATGCAGGGTCCTCAGGTCGAACCCTGGTATGAAAGAAAGAAAGAGACAGAGAAAGAAAGGATAGAAACTACTAGAAAAAGCCATTAAAATGGGGGAAATCAAGCCTAGTTCTTTCACTTTCCTTCCTTCCGATCATGTCTGGCTTTCACTCCGATGCCTGTCTATACCTTTGCATCTGTCTGTCTACTACCTATCATCTAGCATCTGTCTGTCTGTCTATCATCTTATGCGTCTTGAGATGGAGGAATTACGTGTAGAGTTTGCCAGTGTAATGCTTCTCTCACATCCCTAGTAATATACTTCAAATGTTCAGCTAAATAAAAAGGAGCATGAAGCCCAAGCAAACAGTAAATAGTTAATGCTTCTGGCAAGATAAAGGCTAAGGAGAAAGACAAAGTGGGGGGCGCCAGAGGGAGAAAGTGCGGGAGGGAGGGAGAGCACAGGGATGGTTTAATCGGCACAGCTAGACTGTCTTTATTCATAAACATGAGTGATAATGCTTTCTACGCTTCTATTATTTGCCTGTGTCAAACAGTTGATGCTATAGATAAATATAGAAAACACACTGGAATGTAGGAAATAGTTTCTGATAAAGAAAACACATTGTCTTCTCCTTCCACCCTCCACACACACACACATACACACACACACACCCGCAGGACCACCCATCCAGGGCCTCAGCCTCCTGCTGGGACCCAGGCTGCGCAGGAAGTCCTTCCTTCCTTCCTTCCTTCCTTCCTTCCTTCCTTCCTTCCTTCCTTCCTTCCTTCCTTCCTTCGCATTCTTCCAAGGCTGAGTGGCTCAGGCCTTTGCAGTGCCATCGAATTCCTGGAGTTGGGTTTCCTTCCACATCTGAGCTCGCTCATAACACCCATGCTGCAGAATCAGCCCTCCAATGGAAAACGCGTGCTTTCTCATGCTGTTCCAAGCATTTCAATTTTTTTTTTTTTTTTCGGTACTGGGGATTGAACTAGAGTGCTTGTGCTTGCGAGGCAGGCTGCACTGAGCTAAATCCCCAGCCCAACATTTCAGTTTAGGTTCATTCAAATTGCAAAAAATGGGAAAACAAATTAAATTTATATTATCAAATTGTATTGAAGCAAAGTGTACGACATCAAATTGTTTGATTTTATGAGAACATCCTGGGGGAGTCCATACTGAATCTAAGTTAGTTACAAAATGATGAATACTATATTTTACTTGTGTAAAATATTTTATATTTACTGAGGATGCTACACATATATACATGCAAAGACACATATATCCATATACATATAGAGTCTAATATTGTTTAAATATTCTGAGTGGTGTAGTTCGGAAAGATGTTACACTAATCGATTATTATGGCATGCAAAGATAAACATCTTTCCTTACACTTTATTTTCAATGGTATTTTTCTTTGATTTATATTTATTAACAGTGAAATTATATAAAGCATTGGATGTTAGAAGTTATATTTGAATATAGTTTCCATGCTAAATTTATTCATAGTCTTTTTCACAAAAGGAAGTATTTCTACTGTCAGAAACTGTAATATCTAATAGTACTGTTTCCTCGCCTCATCTAAAAATAGCACCGAATATCTTATTTCAGATTAGTTCTCCTTTCAAGAGATTTCAGTAATATATCTTGCCTCCCATTTAAGTCAATCTCATCTTTTCACCTTGAACACAAATATCCCCACTCTAACTGCCTCCATTCTAACAAAACACAAAGATACCCGAGGCTAAATTCAGATCAAGTCAGGTATCAGAAATGTGAGTCTTCCGTGGTTGGCCGCTTTCCCAAGAATGTGGCAGCGTGGCCTTGGACTTGGTTTCAATGAGAAAGAGGCAGGAACCTGGCCTGGAAACTGTCCTGGAAGGCGGAGTCCTGCACAGGACTGTGGGCCTAGGCCTCTACATTGCCCAGAGGTGACAGCTGGGGACAAGGAGTAGCTGTGACAGTGCCCAACATCCAGGCCCGGGGGACGGAGGAGTTCCACTTCTCCTGCGGCCTCATGTCGCCAAGTCAGTTCCTGCGCCAGGGCCCTCGAAGTGCAGAAACAGATGCCTATGGCCGCCCCACGCCACACTCCTGCTTAGACCCCCAGCGTCACCTCCAGATGCAGTCACATCGGGCACTGGACGGTCTCATCAGCATCACTGTCACCATGCGCTGTGTGGGATGAAAAACCGTTGTGAGCACTGGAGCAAAATGTACCATATTAAAGTCAATTTTTACAGGATCTTTCTCGTAAAGATTCCAAAGGAAGAAACATGGACTGTTTCTTGACAGGGTTGAACACCAGGTCACGAATAATGCTTTGACAGTGTTTTTTCCTAGAAGCAAAGAAATCAAATCAGAAAGAATTTTTAAAATGATGTAAAAGCCAGAGTTAGGCCATATTATCAGGGCCCACTGACGACCAGCCAAGTCCTGAGCAGCCTCCTGGGAGGCTGGGAATGTCTTGCAGCTCAGAGAAGAGCAGAGAAAACGCGCGGAGACCTGAGAAAGCTACTGAGGACAAATGAGGGTGCGGGTGCGGACCAGAAAACAGCCCGGTTTCCTCCTGTCCGGCGAATAACTGTTAGAATGCTCACCATGAACACCTCTGACATTTACAGTAAGGTGTGGAAGCCCAGGACGTGATTGTCCTGAGACATGTAAAGCAGTATTTCTTGCTCCCTGTCCGATCCTGGCAGGAAACCTCTGGCAGTGACTGGAGGAGACTCTTTTCGTTGTCGTAACTGAAGCAAGCACCACCAGCACGTAGCAGGTGGAGGCCAGGGACCCTGCTGCGCATTCAACAGTGCACAAGACAGTTAGCACAACGAGAAATCATTTGACTCCAAATATCATGTGGTGAAAACATGATCTCAACTACAGCGCTACCTGGTTCACAAATTTAATTCTTTCCACAATTCTGGTTGCAAATGGACTTAGATGAGCACTGAATCAAATTTCCCCACAAGGTCAACATTGAACCTAACCATTGACTTTGACTGGATTCTCATCCAATTCTGTCTGTGACCAGAACCGTGGAAAGAATAGAGTTAGTGAATCAAGGCAAGGAAGGTGTAATGGACCGGATGTTTGCCACTACCTCCCACCCCACTAAATTCATGTGATGAAATTCTAGTCCCCAAGAAATGGTATTAGGAGATGAGACTTTTAATAGATGATTAGTCTTGAGGATGGAGCCCTCAGGAATCGGATTAGTGCCCTTAGAGAAGAGGCCAGAATGAGACTCCTCACTGCTTTTGCCAGGGCAGGACCCAAGAAGCCACTTTCAACCAGCCAAGAAATGGGCCCGCATCAGATGCCAGATCTGCTAGGCTTGAACTCAGAGTATTACAGCCTGCGAGAAATCAGTGTTGATTGTTTAAGCCACTCAGTCTACAGGTATGTTTGTTATAGCCCTGCAAAAGCAAAGAAAATGGGTCCAATATTAATAGTTAAATTATACAAAATAATCAGTGTATATAAGAACTGTTTATATAAACATGTAATAAGCAGTACATATAGGCTTTCACTGTTGTCCTCGGGTTATATGCCCCAGATCCAACATGGTCCCAGGTGCTCTTGTAACTGTATAAATGGCATAGTTTTTGCATATGACTGACATGCATCTTCCCACATATATTGAGTGATCTCTAGATTAATTATTACACCTAATACAATGTAAATGCTATATAAGTAATTGTTCTACTGTATTCTTTAGGGAATGATGACAGAAAACAAAGCTTGCACATATTCAGTACAGATGCAACCCGTGTAAGTCTAAACTATGCATTACGTGCCAGTAACAATGTAACTTTTAAAATACTTTCCATTCACAGCTGCTTGAATCTGTGGATAAAGGACCTGCACATATACAAGGTAGACAATACATACATTTATGGATGTATAATCTTATGCTTTTAATTCTGTACACTCTTCCGAAAATCGGCTCTTTACAGCGATATTTTCTTGGCTGTATTAAAGTTGCTTTTGTCAGAGTGAAAGGAAGATAGTATCAGATTACAAAGCTGACTGTGTGGGTCGGCAGGGAGTGCCAGCCCTCAGTCTTGGTTTCCTCATGTGAGGGTGCAGTAGCAAGATCCACCTCAGAGCATTTAAGAGTATTAAATAACATAAAAACACCTCTATGGGTGCCTCCTGTGTAATGAATCCTTAGTAGATTGCTGCTGATATTTTCACATTTTTTTATTATTATTTTTTCTCTCATTGAGTTTATTGGTACATTTTAGGCATACAGTACAGTTGCAGTCATCATTGGGATCTTGTACCTTTACAGGACAGGTCTTGGTTCTCATTTTTTCCCGTTGTCCCTGCCCTCCCTTTACCCCCTCTTCCCTCCCCATTTACAAATACTTTATTTCCATTTTTTCATTTTCTCATATTTTTTTCTTTTCCCTTATTACCTTTCCCCCACTCTTCCCGTTTTCCCTACACCTTTAGCCCTTTTCTTCCTATTTTACATTGTCAATTATGTCATTACAATCTTATGTACTATTATAGTTTTTCACACCAGAGAAACTAATCGGTATTTACACGTGTGTGGCTTATTTATTTCACTTATGAGTATGTCAATATGTATCCATTTTCTAATGAATTAATCTAATTTCTCTTTCTTTATGGCTTAGCAGTATTCCATTTTACAGAAAAACCACATCCTCTTTATCCAGTTTCCAACAGATGGGCAAATGGGCTGTTTCCAAGTTTTAGCTACTACAAACTGTGCCGCTATAAACATAGGTGCACATATATCACTGTGATATGATTTTTTCACATTTTTAACGATGAATCCTAAATTGTTGCACAGAAATGAATGAGGCTGGAGTTTACTGTACCGTAGCAGAGCTTGCATGTCATGGAGCCACCCTTCTAACCACTTCCACTCCTGGACACCTCCATTACTTTCTCAACTGTTCGTCTCATAGAAGTTTCAACTTAAAAGCCATCTTGCCATCCGTTCTCCGATGTGATTTCTGCATGAACCTCACAAGAACCAAACTGATTTCGTGGCAGCCTGAGTCATTAGCTGTGGTCTCAGGTGGTGTCTTCTGCCTGCTGCAGGTGAAAAGGTGAAAGGCAGCACGTTACGTTGTGGAGTCACAGCCTTTATTCAGCTGTCTGAAGTGGTACCTGGTGTAACCAACTCAGCTGCAGCCCACAGGCAGCTGGCCAGGGGTAACACCTCAGTGGTGCCTTCGGCAGCTGTCACCACCACCTGAATCTTCACAGAAAGGGTCTCAGTATCAGATGCATAAAAGGAAGTGCTCATGCGAAAGCAGTGAGATAGCTGATCTCAACTCATGTGGAGATGCCCTCATTTTTCCTAGAATCCTAGACAACCTCCCGACTCAGTGCTCCAGAATAAGCAGCCGTGTGATGATTGCCATTCCTTTACAGGATGACCTATCTGTCCGCTAAGCTGAGAGTCACACATTAGACAATGAGCCTGGGGACCCGCCAAGTTTATCATTCTCCAGACTTCAGAGCTGCTCCGGGAGCCTCAGCTCATCTGGCTGTTGAAGTCCTTTGTGCTTTGTTTACCTGGGTGATCCTGTGGGTCTTGCTCTTCAGGTAAGAAGAGTAGATTTGCTGATGCAGCTCCTGCTTTGGGGTCTTCACCTAGGGCTCCTGTCAACAGTTCCTGGCGATCTGGCAGAAGGGGTCTGGGCTTCTAGGAAAACCAATCTCATTCCAGTGCCACAACCCTCAGATTCCTAGAATTCTGTTTCTACCAGAGTTGTCTTTGGCAAAGGAGCTCTGAGCAAAACGAAAGTGTCTAAATTTCTCAGAAGTATATATCAAAGGGAAATTAAGACCTGAAGTCTTTAGAAAAGGAATCTTGTCAGGTTTTCCACACATTCCGCTGAAAAGAGATGTCTCGTGCATTAGTACAGCAGAAATGCACAGTGAAGAACAGAATATCTAGATGAGGAAACGATGTACAAACTAAAAAGAAGGAACAGGGTTGCCAAAGGCACTGCCTACTTGTCGGGTCAGCATCCTCCTGGTCAGGGCCAGACATGGTGGTTCTCTGCCTAGAACCTGAGGCCGTGTGTCCCAGCATGTGCCCAGGAAACTCCGGTCCGAAGGACAGGTACTCACGCTTTTACTTCTTTTTTCCATTGTGAAGTTGAAGTTCTTGATTAGGTGAAGAAGTGATTTTTTTTTCCCCTATGAGGAAAGTGTTCTCTAAACAAAGGCATAGAATTCTGGCTCTTTTATTTATCTTGCATGAATTTTAAAGAGGCCCATTCACTACAAGGCAATCCCCAAAACGTACCCAGCCCAGTGCCGGGCACTTCGATCCAGGATGCAGTGAAGATCTCATGCCAGGCTTCTCCTGTCGCAGCCCCGAGGCTGGGCAGGAGGGCTGTGCAGGCCCCCTGGGCCTGTTAGAAGCTGGCACGTCCGCAATCTATGCACGGTTTTCTCATTAGGTCACAGCCATTTCTAAGCAAAAGATGTTCAAAAAATGGAGTTTAGTTGGCCTTTAAACCCAGCACCCCAAGAGAATGATAAAGGAGAAATCAGCTGCTTCGTTGCTGTTCAATTCTGCTATTATCAAAGCTATCTGCTTTAATTATTTCAGTCAATTGTGTTATTATGTTTATTCTCTGGAACTTTAAGCAAATGGAATAAGGCAAAAAATTCCAATAAATAAGCACATGGAGACGAGAACAGGGACCCTGTGTTTCAGGCAAAGGACGACAGCACCAGCACCTGCAGGCCTCTGTCTCACTCAGGGCCTCTCCGGCTGTGTGGCCAGAGCACAGCCGTGGTCAGCTCGTCGTGCTGTCACCTGAGACCAGCCCTCCTGACAACTCCGGGGGTAAAAGTCTCCCCAGGGTTCTTTCCGGTTACCCATCCCAGCTGCTCTGACACTCACGTGGCTCTCTGAAGTCTCTGCTATGAACGGACCAGAGCCTGGCACCTGCACTCCCTGGACGGACGACTGCATCTCTTCGGGGAAACAACGGTGAAAGGTGCTGAGCAGGGACCTGGTCTGACGGCCTCCACACAGCTGAACCAAGGGTGACGGCAGGAAGAGAAGTCCTTGGGTGTTTTCATACACAGACTCTTATTACTGACAGGTCCAGATTCCTGAGCAGGGAGAGAAGAAAACACTGTTTATCTCTGGCTGTGCCCATCTGTTTCTGTTGCCATGGGAACAGAAAATTAGACTTTGACATAAAGGGAATGCCCCAAAGTTAATCTTAAAACTGTAGCTGATCATCACTAGGTTAAAAAAAATGGTGATTCTAAGAAGCACTGTAATAATCAACCAACGAATGTCTTCTCAGAACCGTGAACAAGGTGACTCATGGTCCCTGCACTGACGGTGCCCACACCCTTGCCAGCTCCTCCCCTGGGGGTGGTGCTGTGTGGTCAGAGGGGCAGCTGGTCCTCCCTGGAGGCCCAAAGTGTGCAGGGCTCACATATCCCATTAGACTGTCACTTACGAGGCAAGAGCAGCTCTCACCAGAAGAAAAGCAGTACAAACGTCCTTCACACGGCCAGGAGAAGGCGGGAGCCAGGCTGAGGCCAAGCTGTGGACAGCGCAGTGCGTGTCCCTCACGGCCCGCTGGTCTCTGTCCCATCCTCTCGTGTCTCCGTTAGTCTGTCCAGGTGAAAGCAGCACGTGATGTGCCGACCTCAAGGAGACTTTTATGTTTAATGAGTGGAACAACTGTCCATTCTCTGCCTCCCCATTTTTATCTCATGAGGCACAGATGGATGAACACGTCTGAAAAGCCCCCTCTATTTATCACGCTGTTGTCCTCCAGCTGAAAACAACATCTCCGCCAATCCCACCTTTTCCATCAGGACAAAGTTGAAATGCTATGCGCTATGAAAAGCTCCAAGTTTCACCAGAAACCACTCTGTAATGCAGAAAACGAACTCCGGAGTGACTCACACCCTCTGGGTCGGGGCCGGCGGTCCTCCATAGATCAGGGCTCCCTTTACGGTGCCACAGTCTGTGTCTCGTGTGGTCCTGATGCGCTTTCTTCACTAGTCCAAGCTATTTCTCATGTCCTGGAAATGTCCGCACGCCGCAGGCCCACCCCCGGTAGGTACACCGTCACAGGGACAGAACGCTGTCTCGCAGGCACCCTCCTTCGTACACGGGAGCATCACTGATCCCACTCTTCCTTCGCGCTGGCGGTTGTGGGCTCGATGCTCCACACTGGGACGGTGCTTGGTTCACGTCTGGGCCACTCAGACCAACCACGTGCAAGCCAAGCCACAGCGTTGTCTCTGCTGTGCTCATCTTATGCTCACAGAGGAAGATGTCCTGGCAGCAGGTGAGTTAACAGGGAGTGCGGACAGCTGGAAACATCCGAGTGCTTCTCGTAGATCAGACGTTCTTCCCGGTTTCCTCATATGTAAGACAGTCCTGCGAGGTGGTGCAAGTATTGTCCCACTTTGTAGACAAAGAAGGACAGAGACAAAGAGAGAGGCGGAGAGAGGGACACTGTCGGGTGAGTCCTCCAAACTCACGTGTGCAGTGATGACTGGTGAGATCCCGGCTCAGACGGTCTGACAGAAAAGCACGTATTCATAGAATGGAAGGTAGGAAGGGAGGCAGCAGGGGAGGGAAATGCAGACGGCAGCTTATTTAGCAAAATGGCTTCTGGTTCTCAGCTGTAGAAAAGTAGACTTTACCCAAAGAATCTTCGGCAATAGCCCTCTGACCATTGGGCAAAGCTGGACGTCTAAGAGCGGCCCGAGCGATTTAGCCTGTCTCAGGGAAAAGAGAATCAGAGAAGAAGGAAAGGAGTTTGTCTCCTGGGAGCCTGGGGTGCAGACGGAAGGACGGTGGGCATGTCCTGACAGGAAGGGGCAGCAGGACCGAGGGACGGGGAAGGGCAAATGGGAAAGTGGTGAGGCCCACTGTGGCAGAGCCCGGTCAGTATGAGGAGAATTGCCGTGGGGACTCCCGTCCAGCTCCCGCTGGCAGTTTTTAGCCACAGACATGATTCAGAAGGAAGAGGAGACGTCTGTGTGAATGCTGAACTCTCTCTGCCCAGAAGTTCTTCGCTCTTTCCGGAGTTCCTGCGCGTCCCCTTCCTGCCACCCTGAAGGAGACAGTCCTCAGTGGGGCTACTCTGGAGCCGTCTGGATGCTGTGGCTCCTGTGTGCTCTCCCTTCTCCCGGGATGGGCCAGATGCACCGTGCAGCCTCAGGACGGTTTCCGAGTGCCTCGGCAGCTCGCGACCAGGGAAACCCTACTCCGGTCCCTCTCCAAAACAGGTAATGGAGGTCACGGGCCGCGGCCTTCTTTTTCCAATGTATTCTGGATCATTCTCAGAATATAGATGAGTAATAACAAGTGTCCTCATGACCTGTAGACCTGGTGAAGATCGGGGAAGTGGCTGATGCTGACAGAGTGACAGAGAATTTGGGGAGTGGCACCAAGGCGCTCATACCTTTCTCAAGATGGCTGGCTTCCTGCTTAGTCAAGGGATTCTCACTGCATTATCAGCGTTAAGGAGGACCCGGAAGGGTAACAGTGTTCAGTTCCTTCTTTCTCAAAATGCAGCAAAACCTGCACGATCCTTCCTCCCTTCTCCTCTCTTTTCCTTTCCTTTCTTGGATTTCAAATCTCTGAGCTAAAAGCATCTGGTCACTTTCAAGTTCCCCCGAATCTTCTGATTCTCACTCAGCTTCTATCTACACCTTCTGCATCCGGTGTCAAGCCCAGCTCCCTCCGGGGTGGGGGTGCACACCCTCCCGCCTCAGGGGGAGCACACCTCCTTCCCGGGGCGCCCCCAGCCACCGTCCTCACAGGAGACACCGCAGGCCACGCTTGCCGGCACACGGCCCAATGGGACCACACGGACGTGCCTGGAAGCTGGCTGTGTGGACACACTTGTTGCAGGAAATGAAAGATGGAACCGATGGTTTCAACCAAATTAGAGCAGAACTGAAAATCTGCAAATAAAAATTACAGATCCTTAATCACAGTTTTCCCTCTGCACAGGCTGTGTAAAAACAGGCAGTTCTCTAGGAGAAGACTGCCTCTTTGAAGGACTTTTGAGTCATCTTGGTTTCTGTCTCTTGATACAACGTTGACTCTAAGAGCAATAAAACAAGGAATATCCTGTGTTCCCCTGCTTTGCATATAAGGCGCTAATTGGGAAAATAGCTCCAACTCAAGGCTCCACTTCTGGATATACTGAGCCTGATATTCTCTTGTGCTATATTTTAAGAGGCAAGAGAATCTTCAACCTAACACTTGGTGTCATTTCTAGGTCAAACATTTCAGAGCTTCCTGAACAAGTATGCTGAGATGAAGTTATCGCTGAATCTGCCAAAAGAAATGCTGGGTAAGAGATAAGTTTCACAAATTTATTGAGAATTAGAGACCAATGTCTGGAATACAAAGTTTTAAAGTCTGTGTCATCCCTGAGAGATTCCCTACTCCAGTTACTTAGGTTTTTCAACTTTTGGGCTTTTCCTTTTGAATTGCTGAATTGGTACACTCAGGCAACACAGACAGATATACACATAGGTAATTTTATTTTGCTGTTTCTTGGCCATCTAATTTGGATTTGTACCCTTTCTGCAAAGCATGGAAAGTCAAATATGTATGCTTTTCTGCATTTGGAAGAGAAGGGACTGGCCACAGCTGACCTCCAGGGTCCTCTTGAAGGTTAATGATCAGGCAGGGCTTCCTGGACAAGGACAGTGCACCTGGCTTGGGGTCCTGGGAGTTGAAGCCCATCATTTGCATACATTCGTCCCACTGGCCTTCTCTTCCACTGCATTGTGATCTGTTTGTTCTTTTGCCTTTCTGTGCTTGAAAACTCAGCAGGGGGAGGTAGAATAAATGAGGAGGGTCAGCCCCATCTTGCAGGCTATAAACACACCATGCAAAATACTCACCATGTAATACGTTTAATAAGCACTCATGATTTATTGGCCTTACGAGTGCTTGGGTGATACTACAATTAACTTCGTTTGCGGATTTTACTGTTTTTGATTGGAGGTCGTGAAGGGGCAAGCTCCTTTTTGTCTCTGAGGAAGTGTGCATGGTCAAAGGGTGGATTGAGACATGAAAATCCCTAGGCAAGTCACAAATTCTTGGGGAAATAGGGATAGCAGTCCCTCTACCGAATCCATTACGGGAATAAAATAATATTTGTGATTTCTGCACACACTAGTATAAAGTAGCCCCAAACAAATTATTCAGGAAATGCACTCATCTTGCAGGTGCTTGGCTGCACTGTTGGCACGTGTGTGTGTCGTCCTGGTGTCTGTAAGAGGCTGGCCTCAAATTCTAGAGCTGAAATTCTAAGTCGGAGCTGTGGTGGGAAGACCCATGGTTTGCCATCATCCTCTTCCACAGCCTTTCCCCAGTCAGCTTCTTCTTTGCTTCTAGAAAATTTAAATCCTATAACTGTGAAGGGAAATTGAGTTTGTATTTCCTGGTCTCCCATATTACAGAATCCCATCACACTGGGAGGAAGGGCTCATGCTGCAGCCAGATGGGACCTCAGGAGCTGCTGGAGCCACGTGGATTTGAACAGAGCACAGATTCCCAGGTCACTGCCCCCGCCCCGCCTCCCAGAGTAAGCAGTTCCTCAACAACCCAATATCTGCAGCCACTCCTTGTATCTCTTTCAGAAATTTCACCTGGGTCCTTCCCTTTTCAGAAGGTACTGGCCTCTTCTTGTGTACTTGCCCAGGGAACTGTACCTTATAAATAGTGTCCAGCTGCCACTGCCACGGTTCCACCAGTTTTCCCAGAGCAGGTAGGAAGGGGCAATGAAAGTGTCCATTCTCCCTCGTCAGCCCAGGTGCCTTTCTGACTCATAGGCCAACCACGAGGTACAAGCCCTGGGGAGGTGAGTAATGCATCCTTCAAACGTCTGGTATGAACTTGATCCCTCGGCCCAGGAAGCTGCTCCAGGATGAAAATCTGCCCTCAGAGAGGGGCTAAGAGTCTGACTTCTTGCATTCCTGAAAGGCCACGGTGATGTCAGGTAAATAAAGATCTGGATTGCAGTCTGACTTCTAGTTTGGTGACATTGGCACCTTGAAGTCCAAGGAATTTCCATTCTAGAGTGAGGTCAGTAATTCTTGCCCTTACAAGATTTAGAGGAGAATAATATCGAATACTGAGACAATTTTCAATATGTAGAACTGGTCATTGCAATAAAACAGGCAGGAGCGAGCACCTTGGAAACAAACTATCCTCCCACTCTGTACAAAAACAAGGGTAATTTTTGTGCTGTTATTTTGGTGTTGTTTTTCTGATATTATTTGGATTTATTTTCTTTTATTTTAAACCAGCAACCATCCAGGATTATCCTGACATCTCCCTCACCTTTTTTTTTTTAATAATCTTTATTAGGAACCAAACCACAGTACTCAAAAACTTCAGTGTGCTTTAGAGAGACACTCAGAATTTAGAAGCACATCCCAGATATGCTGGCTGGAGATGAAAGGGAAGATGTTTCACAGACACCATCCAGGCTCCAATTCAGTTGAGAGAACATTTACTAAGTCCACCCGAGCCCATTTGTTTCTCTTTTGCTCCATTTCGGAGACTAACTCAGATGTCTAGTGACTGCTTCGCTGTGGACAACCCTGTCACGATGGTGTTTAGCTTGTGTAATACAGGTATGGGTGGGGCAGCCCAACCAACAATAGGAAGCCGACTGTCCAATCGAGAAGTAAAACCTTACGGCTTACTTCCTCTCGAGTGAGGTGGAAAGCCACATCTCAATAAGTGACCGGTATTACATAAGACCTTCCGGTCCCAGTTGTTGACCTCCTAGGGTGAATGCGATGTCTGTCCTCGGTGCTACGGTAAATGTGGCTTTTAGATGTCGTTCCTGGCCCCTGAAAGCTTACATTGCTGCTCTGTCTATGGAAAGAGAAATGCAAAATATTGACCGGGTAAAGATAGCACATATCCTAAACCTGACCAGGAAACAACAACGCAGTGAATAATTCCTTCTCCTGTTTACATTCCATGACCTAAAGGTGACTGTCCCTGTCACAGCACATATATGTGTTTGAGCTTTGCTTCTAGGTGTGGCAATAAACTTAAACTCACTTACAGCATTTGGACACTCATTTATTTATTGAAGATCACTAGTGATTTGTGATCAAGGCAGAGATCTAGAGCACACAAAGGACTCTGCGGTCCATCGCACAGCCCAAGAGCAGGGCTGTTCACATGCAGTCACAGTTCTTCTAGTAGCCACGGCAGCTGACCTTTGGAACTGACACAAAATACAAGGTCAGGGTTCTTTGATATTTTGAGCTGTGAGAAGGGAAATAAAAGTATAAAATGTAAAGTGTAAAGATGAGATTGCAGATACTAGTCGATAAAGTGAGCTTGTGCTGTTGTAATCCACTCTTTATTGCCTGTGTGTGACTTGTCTGCCATTCCCAAGGTCACAGAAGCTGTGATGAAAGTAATTCAGCAGGAAGTAAACAGGACCCGGAGTCAGAAGGCCTGGGTTCTTTCCCATCACTGACACCAACATCGCGGTCATGCTATGTAAGACTGAATTGCATTCATACCTCGGATGTATGAGCAATCATGGGCAGAGGAAAGAAAGATTCAAGGCTGTAACTTGTCCATGGACTGAAAAACATCTGTTGATTTGAGATTTCTTATATTTCAAAATTCTATACGAGTTAGATGCAATATCTGAACAGCCTCAGGTCTCTACCTATTTGGTGTTAGCATTCAGGATTAAACTGGAGATGGAAGTGAAATTCTCTCTCTGCTGGGCGTTGAGCTCTTGCCAAGAGGTAAATCCTTCTTCTCCTTCTTTGGCAGACAAAAGCACGCTGAGCTCTGCATATCCAAGCGGTCTCGGAGCTGCCACAGATTCGAACACCAAATGCAGAGTCTCATTTATCCTCACCATAGGAAACTGAGAGCAAGATATCCCATTCCCCAATTTAGGGAGAAGGAACCCAGCTCTCGCAGCGTAGAGACTTTCCAAGTTCTCAAGGTTAGAAACTTCTGGAGCTGGCATTTGAATCCAGGTCTATTTGACTCGAAAGCCCATCCATCACTTTCTTACAGCTGCACAAAGCACTTGCCCCATGGGGAGCCAGTGAGACTGTCACAAGGTCCCTGTAGTTACAGAAACAGGAGAAGAGAGCAGCGGGTGTGGGCCACCGAGCCGGGAGTGGAGGCAGGTAGACATTGTGGGTGCAGAAAGCAGCTTCCCCCAGGTAAGGACCGGCGGGCTCAGTGTGCAGGGCGGAGACCATGATCTGTGGGCATCCACAGTCCCTTCTGAGTCTGTTGCTGTCACTTTTGCTATCATCACTTTGCCGGCGGAAGGAGATAGAGTTCTCTAGTTGGCTCCTCTGTTGCCCTTGTGCCCTGAAGCTATTTTTCACTCAGATGTTTTCTCCATCTCTCAACCCCAGCAAATGCAAACCTTCAGACAGTGGACAGCTCAGCACCATGCTTCTGAGTTACAGGAGGTAGGACTGACCCTATCATTTCAAAATCTGGTGACCACTCCTAACTTCAGCCGATGCTTAATAGCGTCCTTACCTGAACTTAGCTTTCTTCTGCTGGCAGAACCTGTCCTCCATGGGAAAACAACGCTCAGTAGTGGGCCAATCACCGGAAGCGAGGGAACAGAAAGCCATCTTCATTACATGCACACATGGCAGAGGGAACTACAACCGCTGCTTTCCAGGAGACTGGGTTCACGGCCAAGAACGGCAGCCCTGGTCTTCACATTCCACTTTCCAGGAGAGCTCACTGGGAGTCCAAGAGCCATAGGAGGAAGGACAAAGTACAGCCGCGGCCTAGGAAGAGTCAGGCGCTCACGTCGGGCTGAGAGTGCCAAGAGCACCTTTCACGCTCTCCAACTTACCCAGGAGATTTCTGGTCTAGGTCCTCTGGACTTACAGGATGGTTCTAGAAGGCTATTTTAAATTCTATTTTTCCTCTTTTGCAGAGGAGCAATCACAACAACAATCTGAGTTCCCGCAAACTATGCTATACATTGCCCACTTCGATCCGAGGCTCCGGTAGAGGGTCTTACATACCCTGTAATCCTCACCAACACCGGCACACTTGCTGCACTCAAACCCAGTTTTGCAAATGAGAAAACTGAAGCAGAGGAAGGTTAAACAGCAGCCGTACCCTAATATTTGAACACAGTTTCACCAGCCAAAGGCTTTCTTCTGCATTCTCTCCTGAGAACTGTACACCCACCTGAGGAATCTGGGGAAATGATGATTTCTCCCTCAGAAGGGGAGACCGTCTAGCCCAAGTCTAGAGCTGGAGGTGAGCACAGGGCTGGAGTCCCAGTCCTGGGCATCACACGCTTAATTTGTGGTTCAGATCTCCTGTGTAGGCTTTCCCTGTGGCCAGTCTCAAACACGGGTGGAACAGAGGGTCACTGAGAGCAATAAAGGCATGTGAGAAATTCCCTGTGCAAAGGGTGTGACCCCAAATCAGCCCCCCTCTAAGTGGAGGGCGGTCTCTCTTCCTCCAGGTGTTCCAGAAATCAGTTGCACGCACACTTAGACCTGAGGAAATCCCTTGCAGAGAGGAGAGCCAGGCTCCAGGCCTCCAAACCTGCCGTGGACACAGGGACCCCCAGGAAGGCTCTCCAATGCCATCTCTCCATCCCAGCCTGCTCAGTGCAGCATTTTCCCTTTAAATGGAGAAGACTCCGGGTTCGCGTGTCTTCCTGAACCAAATACATGATGGGCAGTGACAGCTCAATCACCCACTGACCTGGAAGAAAACAGATGATTATTCCGTTTTAATGCTGTAAGATAAGCATCAAGTGGCTTGTGGGTAAAAAGCCAGAGAAGGGGGCACTTTGTGAAAAAGGACGTTTGGGATTTGTAGCGATTTTAACTCGGAGACACCTACTTTATTCCTCACGAGCAAAGGAATTATATCTGGAATTAGAAACGTTTTGCACTTGGTGTTGAAGTAATGCATCAAAACACTCACTTGATGATTCAAATTTTAATGACAAGCCCAGAACCTGCTTTAAGAAGGCTTCACTTTCCTTTCCCTGAGTAGCTCCTTCCAAATGCATGGCACTTCCTGGAGACTTGGGGGCTGAGTCCTTTCTAATTAATGTGACTTTGAAGCAGAAAGAGCACTCATAGTTGATGCCCCCAGGTGGAGCAAGGCCTGTTGTTAACAGCGAGCTGCTCAGAGCCCAGCCTGCAGGTTGTGGTTCCTGATTCCCTTCTCCTCTTTTCCTAACCTTTCCCCCGGAAGTCAGGTGACCCTCTTTCCGATAGGGCCCAACGCTAAATGGAGCACTCACAGGAATACTTGCTAGGAGGGGCTGGTACTGGGGACCAAACGAGCTGCTGGCTTCTCTGCACAGGCTCTCCTTGGACCTGCCATGTTCACACAAGAGCAAAGAGACAACAGAAGCAGATTCATCCGTCCGTCTGTTCCCTAGTTCACTGAGCCAGACTGGATCCAGTGGAATCAGAGCTAGTGAGTTACAGAAACAATTCTTTGCCTGCATGGACTCAGACTCCAGGGAAGGAGAGCAAAAAAAGGTGAGGAAGCTGGGGGCATAGTTGGAAACCCCAGAAGGGTACCCTTGAGCTGACAGAACCTCTTCTGTCTATTTTTGAAATGCCATTATACCTCAGGACGGAGGTGCTGGACATTTAGTGTGACTCTACCAGCAAATACTAAAGATAGAAACAAATTTTCTTTGTCCCTTGTCCGGGCCCATGTTGGGTATTTCACAGTAGACTGCAGACTTGTCCAGAAGTAAGGACACTCTCCTGCTGCTTCTGCAGATGCACGTCGCTCCTGCATGGGGACGTGTGGCCTGTGGCCACAGTGAATGGCCGTGGTGACTTCTTGTCTGATCAAGTCATGTCCGGGTCAGAGGGAGCTGAGCAGGTGATG